AAAAAAAAAACAGAAGCAATGGAGAGACTTCGGTGAAACATACTTTAAAAAGCTTGGAAGGACTGTGGAACATTCAGGTAAAGACGGATATATGTAGAAGCCAGAAAATTCATGGTGGAAACAGCCACACTTCGTTTTAGATATCTTACAGTTTCGAATAAGAAAATTGTGAGTTGCATTTAATGCTGCCGTATATGTCGAAAACTCCAAATCAAGTTTTGCTGCAACTTCGTCTAATAAAGACTCGTTGAAAGAAACTTGTTCGAAAGCCAAGCCATCCACTATTCCCTGAAAGCCTCGGTGAGAAACGTGAAGTAAAAGAAAAAACTGGCATCAGCACTTTCCATATCAAAAAAACCTTTTACCAAAAAAAATTATTCAAGTCAGAACATTCGAGGAAGGAAGAAATAGATGCATATACTAAACTTTACAAACCTGCATTTCTGTAATCCCAAGTAATTCATTAACCTGTTTACGAATAGATCTTTGAAACTTATCAACTGCAAAATGCGTTTTTAAAGTCATATAATCCTGGCGCTCTGCGTTATCCTCAGCAATGACCATCAGCAATCCAATTATCTCAAAACACCATACAACGAGAGGAATTAAAAACTTGTACGCAGCAAACATTTTTTTAGCAGTTGCAAATCACTTTGGTTTGTCGAAAGCAGTTCATTAGTGCATAGATTGGGTCTAATTTTCAGTACGCACCAAAGGCGCGCCCCGAATATTAAATATTAACCAAGCCTTAATAACCACCTAAAAAGAGAATATTAGCTTCAAAAATTAAATAAGCAAACTTAAGCGACTAAATTACCAACTAAAGGAAGTCGACTAAACGGATGAATATTAAACCCATGAACAAATAGCATCAAATTAGAAGTGCAGAAACCGAAGAGTGGCGGTCAAAAGAATTTTTGCGAAAGCCAATTAGCTATACTCGCTTAATTAACACAGTCATTAAAAAAGTCACTAAAAAAAGAACCATATTATCAGAAGAAAAAGAAGATAAGAAGAAAACACCATAAAAGCAGTACCAACATCGGCTAAATTTTAAATCAGAAATCAATTCTACTATGGAACTGCAAGTGAATGATAGTGCTTAACGAAAAATGCTTCGGTCGAACAATTGGAAGCTTGGATCAGCGCTCAAAAACTTTGGCTGAAGCGGAAAAAGCAGGCGATCGTTAGCATGCCAACAAACGTCTTCCTGCTTCTTGTTCCGAATCAGTGCTTGCAGCGCTTTATTACTGATGCTCCGTGACTTGCTGGTTGTGCTGCTACTGCAGCCACTGATTAGAGGCGTTTTCTGCGGCAAAAAGATGCGCCTGGAAAGCAGTGTTGCTTCAGTGGCAATTTGCCAATTGGAAGCAGAATACTTCGTTCAATGCAACGGGTATGTGTATGGTTCTTGTTTCTCTAAGCATATTTCCGAAG